TCTCTCTCTCTCTCTCTCTCTCTCTCTCTCTCTCTCTCTCTCTCTCTCTCTCTCTCTCTCTCTCTCTCTCTCTCTCTCTCTCTCTCTTCTTTTTCCGTCTCTGCACTGTTCACCCTCGTTGCTCTCCCTTTCTGTTCTCTCTCCTTCGTCTACGTCCTAGATGTACCCTGAATGCTACTGCAGCATGTCTCTCTCAACATCAGGTGGCGATGGCCGCCAAGTCTGCTTCTCCCCCTCCTGGCTATGGATGTCTCCTTCAGCCAGGGCACTGGGCATCTTCTCCCTTCAGCGCACTTCTTCGTCCAGGTCGCTAGTTCGCACAGCTCCAACAGTGCTCCACAAATTTGTGAAATGAACAACTGCCTCTGTCTGGTATTGTAGCCCAAAACATATTGTTTTCGTGGGCTGGGCCTGCCTGCTTCGATTGGTACCGGCCTTCTTTTGCCTCTGCCCTGCCAAGTTGCTATTTTGGGAAGGTTCTCACTTTTCTTGTGAGGCTGCTGCAAAAACTGGACCTTTGGGGACTGGCATGATCCTACAGTTACTGTTCCTACAGACCTACAGATCCTAAGATTTAACTACTAGTAGGGCCTGCGGACTGCAATAATTGGGAACTCTGTAACAGGGACTGGTAGGCTTGCAGTGTGAATCCAATCACACATCCACATCAGCAAACACTGTCCCAGAAATGAGCCTGACGAGATCTGATCACAACATAGCGCCCCATAGGTGGAGATCTCCCATGAAGACGTCTCTGCAGTGCGCAATGTCGACAGCATCAACAGGTAAGTTTCCCGGTCTCTCACTCAACCAATCCCACAGATCCTGATCTCCCTATACGCCACGTCAGCAATGCCAAAGACAGTGTGGCAAGTGCCACGTCAGCATCTAAGAAGACAGCTGGTGCCAGAAGCAGAGAGCCGCCAGCACGCAAAGCAGCAGTCTCACTTCGTCGTTGCACAATGCCAGCATAGAGCCAGCGTCTTGCCAGCATCTTGCCAGCGTCCAGCGAGCGTCAAGCCAGCGTCAAGCAGCAAGGCAAGACTGAATGTTGACTCCGAGGGGCTGGGTCAATAAATAGTGTTGACGCCGTTGACCAGGCTCTGGTCTCTCACGTACGGAGGCCGAGATTGCCTCGCAGCTGACGGCCTGGATCTCGTACAGTTGCAGACTTCCACATGGACCGAATGCTGCCTGGATACCTGGGTACATCCAAGTGTGTGTGTCTGATCGGTGGCCTGGACTGGGTCCGTGAAGACTTTGACCCGAACCTCGATATTCCGACTTAGAGTTTACTTCAGTCAACTGTCGGGCGCAGGGCCTCTGAAGCCACATTTCAGGGGTTCTGTTCCCCATGGTCGGACGCAGGGCCTTAGGGTCGTCTCGTGGCCTGCACGAGGCCTGCACGTGGCCCCCTTGGCCAACGACATAGGCATATTTGAGCGGGTTATTGTAAACGATTTTTGGAGACATTAATGCTGCGCTGAGTCAGACGTGTATTTTGACATTCATGAGGTTCTCATTTGTCTGGGTTCATTGCCGAAGTATTATGGAAATAAAAATGTGAAAGTTTTTCTATGTTATTGCTTGCACGATGAGCGCATGACTATCCTGCTCTTCATTACCTTTCTGACATCTTTTTGCCTTTTTTTTCTCTTTCTTGTTAATGATATACATGAAGAAATGTTGAGGATTTGGCAAATGGGCTAATTTTTTAGAGCCCTGTTTTCTGGCCTTGACTTTTGAATCCTCCAGAGGGGGTTCTCCTCTGTCTTTTTGTTCGGCAGCAGGTTTGTCACTTGCTCAGCTGTCGAGTTGTAATTTGTTTATAATTTGCTTGCAGCTCTTATATTCTTCATTTATTCGTTGATCTTTAATGGTTAGGGAGGGGGGGAGTTCATTCGATCGATGGGGTCTTCATTGATATTTCGGTATTATTTCCTGTTTTCTGTTTTCTGTGCTGTGCTCTGTGCAGCCTTCCTTTGAAAAGGTTGTCCCAGTAACATTGGCAGAAAGTTCCCTTCCAGAGCTGTGCCATCTGTACAGTGAGCTACGATGCCGTGGGCGGCCCCCGGTAGTAGTGGATGTAGACCTGATACCAAAGGACCCAGAGGTGCATTTCATCACTGCTTCTCCACTCTCTTTTGCATGCTCCCCCAAACCCTTGGTCAACCGTTTCATAAAGGCGGGATTCTTATGTGGTTATGGAGGTGTACATCTGCCAATGGAGGTCACATGGCACCACCATTTCAGTTTTTCATTAAATGACTTACGAAGATTGCCACACCTGACCGGGTGGCCGGGCAACTCGCCTGGGGTCCTCCTGCCCAGGCCACCCTGGTGTGCAAAAGCCTGGGATTTTTTTCGTTTTCAGTGTGGGGTGTTTCCGCGCTCACCTAAAGCAGCCTAAATCTGGACTTTTATTTTTGTTTTTCAGTGTTGTCCATTGGGGGGGGGCAAGGGGGGCGGGGGTGTGTATAAATGGGCCGTTAAAGGGGCTTAAAGTGGTTTGGAGAGGGGTGGCTCAGTGCATTTTTCTTATTTTTCTGTTTATCTTCGATTCAATATGGAACTCTGAGGCGACCCTCAGCCGGAAGTTGTTTGCATTGCACGTCATATGTTTTTAGTACTTTTTACCAATTTTTTTTTTTTTAATTTTTTTTTTCGTTTTTGTGCTTGGGCTGTCAAGGAGCGCACTGGGGGTTCTGCCCGGCCCGGCGCCTGGGCGGCTTGGTGTGTGTCCGGGCATGACTTGGGTGCCCGAGTGCACGGAATTTCTTCCTAGATTTGCACAAAAAAATTGACACCCTGATCTGCACTTCCTATTCTCCCACCGTGCTGGTTGTCATGGCATGTGGATGCAATAAATCGCAGTATCCCAGTGGGACTGTACACTAACTGTGTTTTCTCTTTCCTTGTTTTGGGCCTTGCAGGACTTGATCCCGTGACCTGTATTCTGTTTGTGTTTTTTGACTGTTTTTGGGCTTTCTTGTGCTTGGACCTTCAACCTGTTGCTAGTAGTCTCTACTTCGTTGTCTTAGGCCTTTCAGGCTTGTTGTTTTGTCCTTTTCTGCCCCACTGGAAACTGGTAGGCCCGTAGGTCTTTCTTTTGTGTGTCCTAGCCTTGGGTCCCCTTAGTCTAGGTTTCCATCTAGATGCATGTAGGTAGATCTTGATTGTTTGGCCGTAGACGTTGCTGTTTGGACGGTCAGATAGGTCTGTAGGTGGCTGTTGTGTTGTAGGTCTAGGGAAGTCAGGTAGAAGTAGGCAGAGACCAACGGATTCGTGGCTTTTCTTCTCACAGTCTGGGTGGAGGTCGCGTTGCTTCCCTGCTGCACTATTGTGAGCATATACGCAGGGCATCTTCTCCACATGCCGCTGGCGGCCATAGCTGCGGCCATAGCTGGGGCCTCTTGAGTGGTGCAGAGAGGGGTGTTGGATTTAGAAGGGTGTGTGGCGATTGACGGGCTTGATAGGTTTGGTGCTTGCAAGCACCATAGCTAGAGCTTGAGGAAGAGGGAGTAACTTCGATGAAACCTTGTGAATAATTGGTCCATGGGTGTTGATAACGTGGTTGGGATCCTTGGAAATTCGTGCTGTTGATTGACTTGGGGAGAGATGGTAGTTAGAATTGTGTGCTTCCGCTGTGTATTCTTATCATCCGGTATGGTGTGGATTGCTCCCTCCCAAGGTCACTTGTCATTGCATGTGTATGGGAACGTGTGGATGCCATGTTGGATCTCGTTTCAATCAGGCACATAATATGGATCTGACAGGAACAAACTTTCATGAGCAACGTGATGTGGCTCATTGTGGAGGAGAGGACTTTGTAGAGCCTACATCTTGTGTGTGGGTGGGTGTACACCTCTGTGTGTGCACATGCACGGTGGTCGCCATGAATGTGTGCAAACAGTTACATCTCAGAGATGTTGCATCGTTGTGGCAGAGCTTGTGGTTTTGACCCTTGCTACTATAAACGTCATTTAATTGGGCATAGTTTTCAAGGTGTTCCCGTAGCTGATGACCAGTTGTGGACCTGGTTCTCTTCATGGACCTGGTCCTGTTCATGCCCCCGGTTGTGTTTATGGACCTGGTTCTTTTCATACACCTTGTTCTTTTCATGGACCTGATCTGTTCGCAAACCTGCTTCTGCGCATGGACCTGGTTTGGTTCATGGACCTGGTCCCTTGTCATGGACGTGGTGTTGCTTATGGACCTGGCTCTGTTTGCCTGGTTATGGTGGGAGGCAGTGGTCGCTGCTTTTGTTCATGAACCTGGTCCCTTTTCAAAGTTTTCATGGACATGGTGCTGCTCATGGACGAGGGCTCTGTTTGCCTGGTTATGGTGGTAGGCAGTGGTTGGTACTATTTATAGCCCATCGTGTTTTTTCAAGAGGCTGAGGAAGCCACAGACTAGTCTTGCTGCTCCTGCCAGTAGTGATGTATTTTCCTAGTTACAAGTTGGTGAATGATTTTGTATGGGAAGGAAGTCTACTGGTGTTGCCTGACACTATTTTCTGTCATCAAGGAGCGCATGACACTGACCTTTCTGTGTTCTGTTGCTGCTTGCTGTCAACTCTTTGCTTCTCGTTCACGTTTTGTTTCCTCTGTCAGGGTGCTCTTCGAACTTTGTGCACAGCTCTGGATATTCCATTTCAGTCATCAATGATCAGGTAATATATTATTTGTTCTTGCCAGCTAATGTGTGGATGAACCTCGTATCACTATTTCCCCGTCCTTGCCAGCTGCTGTGTGGGTCCAATCCCTATCCCATCCCTGCTCTTTATAGGAATCTTCCCTCATTATTCCCTGCCATCTTCCCTACGCCCCTATTCACCAACCCCTTCCCGCCCTATTATTCTGTGTGGGTCTGTCTCTCTGTCCTTCCGTCTGTTTGCGCAGCTATCCCCTCCCCTCGCACACCCCAGTCACTGTGTATGAGTGTGGGAGTTGAAACAGAGCTTGCTGTTTCAAGCAACATTCTCTGTGTGTTCTGGAATGTGAGGCCCTCAACACCCCAGGGGTTGATGATGTAAATGTCTCTCAACCTTATCAGCCTTTGGCTGCTACGGCTGTATTTTGCCGCCGTTGCTGTCATGATCAGGAAGGCAGGTTGTAGTCTTCTGTTTTTCTGATGTAATGACCCACACAGTTTTCAGTCTGAGCGACGTGCATTTTTTTTCAGAAAGATTCTGCCGTTGATCTGTTTGCTGACGTTGTTATGATTTTAGCCAATTTCGAAGTACACATTCATTCAGAAATGAAATCAGACTGGACTCATCTCGCTTCCGACATGCATGCAAACAGATGACGACTCGAACTGGCGCAGTGCGCCCACACAAAGCTCAGAGATAAGAACGTGGCCAGGAACATGGTTCAGATTCAACTTGTCTTGGATGGCTATGGCACCCAGCGCCAGGCAAAGATTCCCACCCGATCAACTGTATCCATCAGCAACTTGTTTACGGGCACACGGACACAACTCCATGCAGCCAGGATCACCCTGAATGTCCCACACTCGCACACACTCACACACGACACTCAGATCCTATTTCTATCATACGTGGCAGCTATGGCTGCCGTCTCCTTCCTACCTAAGCTAGCAGCTATGGCCGCTTCTTCAATCCTCTCCGCCCTCTTCTTCCTCGGGCACCTGCAGACCTCCGATGCTCAAGTCACTCAAGCAGTGCTTCTGCACGGCTCACAGGCAGAATGAATGAATGACTTGACGCTGCTTCTTCATTTATACTTGTTTCATTGGTGGTCTGGCCTCTTGGCCTGGGCCCGGGACGTACACAGTCCCACTTGGTACTTGCTGACTGGACTAGGTTAGACTGGGACTGGGTACCGCTGACTAGACGAGGTAGGACTGGGACTGTCCTTCGCTGATTAGACTAGGACTGCCCCTCGCTGACTCAGCTACGGACTGACTTCTACGACCTACGAAGAGCCAGTTTAGACTAGTCTAGACTCTAGAAGGTCCTAGGTTGACGTAGGACTGACCCTTTGGAACTGTAGCGGCTACGATCTATACAGACCCTATGACTGCTAAAACTGAAGTCTACGGGTCAAACCCACACGACCGAACTATGTACAGCAGTCGAACATACGACTTTCAGGGACAGGTCGTGGGTTCAAATACAGGGGTCCACGGTACTGTACAAGGGAAGGGGGGAAAGGTCATGGGATCGAACCCTGGGATCTGCATCTGTCATATGACATAGGTGAAACCGTTTCAGAAAGTACAATGCCGTCCAATTGCAAAAAGAAATGAATGAACTTGAGAGGAGAGAGAGGGTAAGAAGAAGAAGAAGAAGAAAGAAAGAAGAAGAAGATGATGTACACCAGCATAGATCAATGATAATGCTCTTCTTCTTCGCCAACCACTCTCCTCCTCCTCCTCTTCTCCACTCTTATTCAAACAAGAATAATAATAACAATGCTGAATGCCTGAACCAGAATCAACGTCCGAGACCGTCTTCCACTGCAGGTATCACTTGAGGTCCAGCATAGCCATGGCTGCCCCTCTCTCCCTCTTCCTCAGAGGCCGAGGCTATGGCGGACTACCAGGGCGTCGCCCTGCTGTCCAAAGGACAACACAAAGCAGCTATGGCTGCTCTAGCTCAAGCCGCCATGCCTGACTCTGCCTCGAAGCTTTCTTGGTGTAGCTCTGCCCCAACTGGGCCTTCCTGCTGCAGCGCCCGCAAGGTGATGAAGATGGCAAGCACCATAGCCAGGTAAGTACCTCTGGCGCTCCCCTTCCTAGTCCTGGTCTTCTTCCTCCTCTGTGTCCTTGCTTCTTCCCCAGCAGCGCAGCTGAATGCTAGCGCTGCTCCAGCCAGCGCTCCAACCAGTGTGTCGCCTAACTTGCACACCGACAATGAGGAGCAACTGGCTCCTCCTGGAGATATAGCGGCCTGCTTGCCTCTTGGCGAGTGACTTCCTAGGCCGCGCGGCCTCCAAGCAACCGGTACCTCCTCCCTTTCAGAGGGAACATCATTGCAGACTCCGTTATTGCCCGTACAGGCCCTAGACTCAGACTGGTTGGACTGGTACCCGCCTAGACCTAGCCTACAACTTTTCTCTTCTTTTGCTCGGCCTCAAAAAATGCTCGGCCTTGAGTACCCGACGCATCTACCTTTACCTGGTGTAGTACCGGCCTACCTGCTACTTGAGTGTTTTCCTCTGCTTCAAGTGTTGCGGGCCTCTTTCCCCTCCACTTGAGTGTTTTCCCCTGCTGCAATACTCAATGTCATGGCCACAGATAAGTACTGTCCCCTCGGGCCCACTGAACGAACAAGTGCCCTTGCGGGTCACACACACACTCAAGCCGACAAGCACTCAGACAGGCATGCAGACCAGCAAGCGTGCACATACACAGACTTAGAGAACTCAGTAACAAGCGGGAAACTCAGCAAGGCACTCATTCCATGAGCAAAACTCCGAAATCAGCTGTGTGTCTCAGTCCGTGTTTGGTCAGGTCATTACAACGTGTTTAAGCTGTTTTGCTGTGTTTTCTGAGTCTGTGTGACCTTACGATAATGTATGTAAGCCTGTGTGCGCTTGTCTGTTTGCCTGATTAGCTGTGATGTCCGTGCCTGAGTCTGTTTTGCCGTGTTGCCTATGTGTCTGAGAGCTAACTCTGCTTGTGTGCTATCTCCCTGTGGAGGGGAAGAACAGTATGTAAGTGTAGTGACAGGCGTACTTGTAATGACCCGCCATAACACAGACTGAGAACACTCCTGCTTTCTGAAGTTCTGCCGATGGAATGGATGCCTTGCTGAGATTCCCGCATTCTGCTAAGTCTGTATGTGTGCGTGCTTGTTGACCTGCGTGCCTGTCTGAGTGCTTGTCGGCATGAGTGTGTGTATGCCCTGCAAGGGTACTTGATTGTTTTGCAGGGCCCGTAGGGCCGGTACTTACCTGTGGCCGTGGCATTGAGGGTTGCAGCAGGGGAAAACACTCAAGTGGCGGAGCCAGACGCCCGCGACACTTGGAGCAGCGGAAAAACGCTCAAGTAGCAGGTAGGCCGGTATCGCACTTAGTAGCAGTAGATGTGCCGGGTACTCGAGGCCGAGCAGAAGAAGACAAAGTTGGCATTTTTAGAGGCCCAGTAGCGGTAGGCTAGGTCTAGGCCGGTACCAGTCCATCCAGTCTGAGTCTAGAGCCTGTACGGGCAATATCAGAGTCTGCAATGATGTTTCCCTCCGAAAGGGAGGAGGTACCGGTTGCTTGGGAGGCCGAGCTGCCTGGAAGTCACCGCCCAGGAGGCAAGTAGGCCGCTATATCAAGAGGCCGAGGGAAGAGCCCGGCCTCATTCGTCAGTGTGCAAGTTTGGCGACACACTCCTGGAGCGCTGGCTGGAGGAGCGCTGGGTACTACAGCGCTGCTGGGACGAAGAAGCCGGCAGCTTCCACCTTGGCTATGGTGGAGCTCTACCGGTAGGAGGAGGAGGGAGAAGGGGACCAAGGATGAGAGTGGCAAGGTACCTACCTGGCTATGGTGGACAACATCTTCATCACCTTGTTAGGCGCTGCATCTGGAAGGCCCCAGTTGGGGTAGTGCCGCATCAAGGAAGCTCGGGACGGAGTCAGGCATGGCGGTTGAGTGGGCAGCAGCATAGCTGCCTGATGTTGACGTTGGGACAGGAGGGCAGCGACAATCCTGTTTTGGGTTGTCCTTTGGACAGGAGGGTAGAGCCCTCAGTGCCGCCATAGCCTCGGCCTACATGAAGAGGAAGAGGAAGGGTGGCCATGGCTATGGTGGACGTCATGTTGTGCCTGCAGTAGCAGTGGGATTCGGACATTGATTCTGGTTCAGCCATTCAACATTATTATTGTTATTTCTTGTTTGACTAAGAGGGGAGGAGATAAGGAGAAGGAGACTGGTTGGCGAAGAAGAAGAGCATTATCTTTGGTCTATGCTGGAGTTTATCATCTTCTTCTTCTTTCTTTCTTCTTATTCAATCCCTCTCTCTCCTCTCAAGTTCAGTCACTTCTTTTTGGAATTGGACGGCATTGTACTTTTTGATGAATGTATACTTCGAAATCGGCCAGGATCGTAACATTGGTATCGGCGTAGATACTACTTGCTGACGAGAGTTGACTTTGCCGCCATAACCCTAACCTAAGTGGTAAGGGCTAACCACTTAGGGTTAGGGCTGGAAGTTAGGGTTAAGTGGGGCAGCGTGGTGAAGGGAAGCTGCTCCCACCTGGCAGGGCCGTGTAGGATCGACATTAGACCCGGCCAAGTTGCTTGAGTGCATGTTTGTGGTAGCGAGACACAAGGTGGGACTTCGTGATGCAATTGGAGAGAGGCGACAGTGAAGGGCACCTACAACTTGAATCAGGACTTCAAGGAAGACGAGGAGTGAATTTAGGGATCCCCTCAAGTTAGGCGAGGTTGAGGGTGGCAGCCATATCTGCACCCACGGACTGCAAGTTGCTACTTGATCTCCAACATCGATGGGGGATCTGACGTTGTACTTTGGGGTAGATGTTGACCCTCCTAGATGATAGGACAGTAATGTAGAGGATGCTAATTGGGTCAGGAGGACTATGTGAGAGGGGGGTGAGTTTCTTTCATCTCAAGAGCCCGACCACTCAGGTAAGTGTCGTTGTCAGGCGACTGTCTAGCAGCCGACTACTCCTCGCTAAAGAAAAAAAAAGAAGAC